TTCATTCATGTTCTTAAATAAAAAAGTAACAATTTACTATTGTTTGTTGTTGATAATTTTATGCAGGTGTTAGCAGCAAACCCTCATGTGGTGGATCATGTGCTCAATTTCCTGACTGTGAGGCACACTGCAAAAGTTTAGGGTTCAATACTGGAACGTGCATTGTCGATGTGTGCTGTTGTAACAAATAACCAATGCTAGCTATATGAATGCTAAATAAGCAAACCATTTTCTAATAATATTATTATTAGCTTCATTGCTGAAGAATTGTGCATTTCAATAATTTAAATACAACATTTTTTTTAATTTGTGATGTTATTAAGTTAATAAAATATTGTCATGTAGCATTTGTCAAAATACTTTACTTGTTTCATTTTTTCTCTAATTAAAATGATCTATTTAATTATTTTGTTAATAAAGATACATGATAATTTTGATGATTATGATTCGAAATACGTGAATTTTTAAACAATGAAATTCATTATACAAATATTCAGGATTAAATAAAAATAACACTAATATACAATATAATTCAAGTTTATAACGTATTTAGTATTATTATTTTAGGATTAATTTATTTATTGTATTTAAAAATAGTTTTTAATTTTTTTATTTAAATAATATATAAAGATCGATTTAAAAAAATTAAAATTAAAATTAAAATTAAAATTGATAAAAATATTTTTATTATTTTATTAATTAATATTAATTTTTATTAATAAATATATCAAATTAATAATTCATATCTTTAAAAAATATTTCAAATCGTTTTTTTTAATTTTCCTTATAACTTTTTTCTCATCTATCTTTTCTTTTTTTCTTTAAAATAGTTTTAAATATAAAGTTATTAAAAAACTTTTTAAATTTCATTTTTAACATTAAAAATTAAACTAAATCGAATAGATACACTTATTTTTCTTATTTTAACTTTTATTTGTGAGGATAAAAGTACAGTAACATACTCTTTGTATTCTATCACTTTTCTCTTTAATTTTGTATAAAAAATTAGGAAAAATAACAAATTTTAAAATATTTTTTATATAATTAAAAAATGGTCCATTTTAAGTTACTAAAATAAAAATAAAATATATTAATTAATATTATTATAAAATAAATCATATATTTGTAAAATAATTTATAAAATATTAAATTTAAGTAGTTAAAAATATTTGTTGAATCAATGGTAAATATTATAATATTTTTAAATCAATGTAACTTCTATTTAAATCAATATTATCATTTTTTTATTTGAATAAAATAATATTTAAAAAATATTAATAATATAATCACAAATTATTTATAATTTAATATCTATGTTAATTAATAATTAAAAGAAAATTATGTAATAAAATAATGTTATTGTTTAATATTAAAATCATACAATTTATTATTAACTATTTAATTTAAATATACACAGAATTAATTTTTGAAAATTTGATTATATTTAATACATATCGTAAATTTAAATTTTTGATAAATGATTAAAAAATCTTAAAATCTCCTTTCTTTATATATAGACAGATAAATATAGGTAAATAATATTTTTAACGTTATATTCAATCATTATAAATAAGCTTTATTTGGCATTCTGATATCACTTTAGAAAATATAAAATTAGATAAAGGCTTTATATTAATTTTATAAAAATTTATTTTACTCATAAATAAAAATTATATAAATTATATGTTTTTTTCTTTAAGAATAACGTAAAAATAGTTTATATTGTTTATGTTTTGTTTTATGAGAATCAAAACTTATGCATTTTAATAATTTATCGTCTAATTTGATATTATTTGTGAAATTTTTTTTATTAAAATCAATAAATCTTTAAGTTTGCTTTATAAGTTAAAAAGATTTTTTTTGTTTTACTTCACATGCTTTATTAAAATATTTTAAAATATTACTATATTTTATTATGTCATAATTTTGTTTTTATAAGTTATATTTTCTTTTACCTATTTTGTGTAACGAACCTAGAAATCGCTACTATAATGATGTCTTCGCAAAATAGTAAACAAGTAAATAACGACATCTATCTTACATTATATTACTGTAATTGTAACATAAATTGAAATTTTGGTTCACTAACGGAACCTCAAAATATAGTAACATAATTTATTTATATATTATACATGTAAAAGTAGCTCCCTCGAAGTTATCCCATTGAACTGTTGTCCAGTAGTCACATCTCCATCTCTCAACTCCTGATCTGCTCCCACATAAAAGTGATCATCACAGTCTCATCCACATGAAAAAATAGGGGTAAGTATTAAATCATTCGATATAATAAAACAGATATAGAAGTAATAATTATATATTATGATCAATTACGAAATCATCAACATACTAACACACCTTCCGGAAGTATACCTTAACTATGCCCGAACTCTGAGGTTATAATCTGTGGGCACATTGTCATCGGCACCCGCAGTACCATGCTGACCACCCTCCACACAGAGTAGGATTACTGACGTCCTTCATCACTCATAATGGAGTACCCCTCCGAGAGCGCCACCAGTCATCCCCCATCGACTTCTCACCACCTGATCTCGTAGTCTACCTGACCCGACCAATCAATGAGGTCTGGGACCTCATTCAGAATCTTCCGACATAGTTATTACACTAAAGTACTCTGTACCACCCCGGGTACCATTCAAACACAACAAAAATCATTCACATTTGCCGGATTCTGGACTACCTGTCATCACGGCTCATTCAAGTCAATAATTAATAGTATTTGACTGATTCTAGGCACCAACCAACCCTCTGGCTCAGTTTAGCCAATACATAACATCTCATGACTGATTATGGGCATCAGCCCTTAGACTTAGTTTGACTCATAAAGGTTACAACACATTACAAAATCTTTAAAACTGCTACATTCATTCTATATTTTAAATATATATATATATATATATATATATATATATATATATATATATATATATATCTTTTTTTTTCTGAAATCATTTCGAAATCACTTCGAAATCATTTCCAAAATTATTTCCAAAATCTTATCCGAAATCATTTTCAAAATTTTTTTTGAGATCATTAAATTACTATTTTGACTTTAATCTTTTCTGAAAATTCAATGTATGTCCCTAAATGACTATTTTATCATTGGACATTTTCGAAAATTCCTTCCATGTCCCGAAAATGACTATTTTTGCCCTTAGACATTTTCAAAAATTCCATTTAAGTCCCTAGGATGTAAAATGATTATTTTACCCTTAAACATTTTCAAAAATTCCATTTATGTCCATAGGATGTAAAATGACTATTTTACCCTTGATCTTTTTTAAAAAATCCCCACCATATCCCTTTCTTCTTCCTTCGCCCAATTACAGTATCAGATTTTTGCAGATTTCAAATTACTCAATTTTAGACAACCAAACTAGTCCCAAATTCAAATTAAACATGAATTATATCTAATTTAAGTTGAAAACAACAATTTTACCATATAATTCATCCTGAATTTTAATAATTTCAAAAACTTCAAAACATGAACAAGTGCATCAAAATAAAAAATTCTTTAAAATCGAGACATTCAAATAATTCATATCTCTACTCTTATTCCTTATTCACACGGTATTCACAGAGTACCCAACAATCCAATTTCATATATTGAATGAATTAAACTTTCCCTTACCTTGTATGGTATTTCTACCGAAGTTTTCCCACTTAATTCAAACTCTCTCCTGTTTCACCAGATCCTGCAAGAGTAGAGTATCGTTGCTTAAAATTTAGACAAAAGAAGAAGAAGGGTGAAAGGAAAATTTTGATTCTCCTCCTCCCCGCTTCGAGTATGCATATATAAGAAAAAATTTACTGAGGAAAACTTCGTTACTGAAATTTTCTTGCACGATAATATTAATATAATATTAAAATAAAAAGCATACGTCACATTTTGCATTATTGTTATAAAATATATTTGGTATATGCTCTTTCTCTTAAAAAATATTTTTTACATAAAAATATAATTTCATAAAATAATTAATAATCATATATATTAAAAATAAATATTTTATTTAAAGTTTGATGACATTATTATCATTTAATTAAATGTAATATTCTTTTAAATTTTTCTGATTCAGAAATAAACTAAAGAGTATTTATTATTAGAATGATTCGATTTTAAAAGTTTATATATAAATAGAATGAATTGATTGTAATTTAATTATTAATTATTAACTATCATTAGGAGTATTGAATTTGATTATATGTAATAGTTATTATAAATTTGAATTTTTAATAAATGATTAGGATAAGTGCAAGAGAACTTTATTAAATTATATATATATATATATATATATATATATATATATATATATATATATATATATTACAAATGAACTTTGTTAGACCATATGAAATCATTAGTGATATAATTAACTCAAAACACAATATAATTATTGCATAATAATTTTAAAAATTTTAATATATATAATTTGATAAATTAGTTGAAATATAATTTTTTATATGTACTATTATATAGAAGTTATGTAAAAAAGGTAAATATATTCTAGTTATAAATAACATTCACTGAACATTACCTACTGTTTTTTTTTAATATAATAATATCAGGTCAACTATGTGTTTATGTATTTATTAATTTATTAATATTACTAACAACAGTAGTCAAATTAGTGAATTAATAATAATACCAAAATAGTGAATTAATTTTTATATAAATAGGGTTATAGAATATTGTAAGCACCACACACCCAAAAAATAATACGAAGTATCAGAAGCTCGGATACGTCATATATGAGAATGGCTCTCGTTCATTTCTTTCACTGATTCTGCTGAAAGTTATCCTTGCTGCTATGATTGTTGCTCTATTTTCACTTGGTATGTTCACAAATAAATTTCATGAGAGATTTATTTGTGTAATGTTGTTTTAACTTGGCAATTTTTTATGTCATTTATGTTCATGATTTGAATTTTCGAAAACCTATAAAATGCAGGTGTGAACAGCAACCAAGTGCCACCAAACTGTCATGTACAGTGCCTTGATGTTCCAGACTGTGCTGCCCACTGCAAAACCATTGGCTATGAGACAGGGAAATGCATTCCATCTCCAAAAGGATGGTGCTGTTGCTCCTGAAATGATGAACAAGGTTTCAAATAAGTGCTTAATTTCTTCCTAAGGATGGTGTTGTTGCTCCTAGATGATGAACTAGTTTTCAAATAAATCAGATTTTGAATTTATTATTAATGTTATTATTAATATTATTATATATTTATATACATATGCATTATAACTTAGTTCTTTGTGATTTGATAAATTAACATTAGATTGTTTAGGATTAATACGTGTAAAAAATCAATAATAAGTATATCTATACTTATAGAATATATTAATCATATATTAATAAATAAATATTAAATATATCATAAACTATAACAGGTTATACATTTCAATTTCATATATTCTGAATGATGTTGGAAACCCACAAATAAATCGGTAGTAGATTGAAGTTTTTGTAACAACAAACAAATTCAATGTTTCACTTAAAAAGACAAATGATAGATTTATGAAGAAAAATAGTTTTACAAGATTTCTTACTAGAGCATTTTAGTTTAATCCTCTTGAAAACTAATACAATATTTGTACCCACAAAATTTAGACAACTTATATGTACAAATAAATTGTGAAAAAAAAATCGTATTTTTATAGTTAATATCTTTTATCTTTTTCATATAATTTTGTACACAAAATTTATAATTTTTAATTAAATATTGAAATATATATATTAACAAATAATGACTATGATTGGTCTTTGCACTTTCAAAAGCAACATATTGTTAAATAAATAAATACATAATAATAACTTGAGATAATTGATAATCCTAACAATAAGAATCAAATTTGTGATTTTTGCATATATCAATGGTTATAGATGAAAAGGGAAGTACAATTGTTTGTTTGGTTTGATAAAAAACTAAGTTGGAATACCAAAAGCATTTAACTTTGTTGCAACCCTTAAGTGTATCTATCATATGGATTGTGGTTGAATTACTATTAGAGCTTATATTTCATTTGGATATAATGGATAGATTGATAAAATGTGGTAAATAATGTTAGATTAACATTAGGTGTATTCTATAAAGAGATAAACAAATCTCTAGAAAAAACAAATTGTTAAATTACATTCTATAGTTTTTGAAATATATGATATGTTTACTTTTAAATATTGAAGGAGTATAATTTATGTTATGTTCTACCTATCATTCTCAAATAGAATGATGCGAAAACTAAGAGATATATAATTTAATTTTTATAAAATCTAAGTTAGAGCAAGGGGATAGTTGAAATTGTTTTATGTCTTTAGTAGATATTTCATCTATAATAATAATTATCATTCTAATATTGGGACACCCAATGAAGTCTGGTGTTTGGTGTAATTCAACATGATTCTTGTTATAGATCTAATGTAATATAACAAATGTGACAATTTTTTTTTAATTATGATATTATATATATATATATATATATATATATATATATAAATGATATTACCATTATACAAATATTTACATTGTTGGTAAAATTCTCGTATCAGATACAAATGTAAATATAAGATTGATAATCTTGTCTCTCTATATAATAATGTTTGTGTTCTAAATAGTTTTTGAAAAGAAGACGGTGATACTTACAGAAAAAGATTTTTGGATATTTAACGTTTCTATCTATTTAAGTTGTTATTTAAATATAACATGCAAAAAATATCACAATAGGGAGTGAAAACAATTATTATTTAAAATAATACAATTTTATAATGGTATATAAAATATATTTTTTAACTTTCTCAACGTATTTCATATTAATAATATTTGAATTAAATTTATAGTGACGAGTCATAATAAATGTGTCCAATTTTAATCTCTCTTAGTTACATATACGTATTTCAATCTCTAATGTCTAACCTTCATCTTCAATATTATCAAATATTCATAAATAGATATTATTATTTAAAAATAATTAAACAAAATAAATATAAATTAATAAACAAGAACTAATATATAACTAGAAATCATTAAAATAGTATAAGAATAAAGATAAATAAATAAACATAAAATAAATTAATAAATTTAAGATAAATAAATAAATAATAAAATAAATAGAATAAACTTAGAGACACCTAACTCTACAATCATAATTAAAATAAAATAATAACAATCTCCTCTCCATCTCAATATGGTAGATACACTAAAATTTGTCTCCAAATTATTATTTTTAATCTCTCCTGTTTTTTTTCCACCGCACTTATCTTTATATAGTAACATTTTTTATTTTATTTTAAACTTTTTTTTCTTTCACTCATTAATAAAGCTTATCCCTTTTATTATATTATTATTTTTTGTTTTTATCATTTAACACTTATCTACTATTCTTCAAAGAGATAAGCAATATTATCTTTATATATATATATATATATATATATATATATATATTAATAATAATAATATATAATAATTATTATTGTTATTAATTCATATTATATCTATATATTTTAATTATAATAATATATAATATTAATAATAATTTCATTATATATTATAATAATATAATAATTATTATTGCTAATTTTATAATATATATATATATATTTTTTTTAATTGATAATAATTATTTTATTATTATTTATTATAATAATAATAATAATTATATTAATTAATAATAACCACAGTAAATAATAATTTTTGTTGAATAGATATATTTATATTTTAATAATAAAAATAGTTGTAATAAATATTTATTTATAATAATTTAATAATATACATATATTATAAATGTTTATTTAATTATAAATATATTTAAACTATCCTTTAATATATTATATCTTGAAAAATTTTATGAAGTGTTCCAACAAACTACTGAATCATGAAATAAATAAATAAAACGTATATATAAATAAAAAAATTACTAATAAAAAGAAAGAAGCAATATTAACACATTTCAAACAAAAATTCGACTACTTTAATTTAATATCAAAGGAGCTTCGATTTACAAAATATAAGGCAAAAATGTTTACCTTAATAAGATAAAGAAAAGATTTTAATTTGATAAGTAACCTATCAAATTATTTTATCGTCTAATTTATAAAAAAAAATTTATAAATAATTTCATGATATATGATGTAAGTAAGTCCAACAATCTTTAAGGACATAAAAACTTAATTTTTAAAATTTTATTAATAAAAATTGAAGATTGAATAATTAAACAACTAAAAAAAACAAATCCCATGATAAAATTATCTTCAAATGAAAAGAATAAACTATTTTTGAAAATATTACTTGACAATTTTTAAAAAAAGTAAAGGAAATTTATCCATAATTTTTCTATATTTCAAGACAAAATTTTATGTAAGAAAAAATTGTAATGTCATATTTTTTTCTAAAAATAAAATAAAATAATTATTTATTATTTTATTATTTCATTGAACGTATAAAATAAATTATTTTATAAAGATAAAATAAAGTTGAATTGTTAAAAAAAATTAAGCTTGAGAAATCTATCTCTATGTAACTCATTAATAAAAAAAAAATCATTATTTTTTTATTTTATTCCAGGTTTCTTACACAAGAGAGAAACCCTGGGATAGACACATTAGGAAGCTTTAGTCCACTGGACGGTTTGCAATTTCTCGAACTTTTACTTATTAATTCTTTTGCATCTACAGACTCATTACCCATTTGTTCTGTAAAAGAAGGAAAAGCAATCCTCAAAAGTTGATTTTTCTTTTTCTTTTTTGTGAGTATATTGTATTTGTATTGATTGGTTGATTTGAGTTTTACTCTGTTTATCATGCCCATTGAGAAAAATGGAAAAATAAATGTTGTTTTTGTAATGGGTCTCTCTGATTATTCTCACTGATCAGTGGTTTTATTTACATCCCAGTAAAATCAAACGAGATTTGAGATGGCTGCTGCACGAGGGTTGGTACTGTCACGTCCTGTTACTTTTGTGACTGGCAATGCCAAAAAGCTTGAAGAAGTTCGTGCTATCTTGGGGAATTCCATTCCTTTTCAGTCCCTCAAACTTGATTGTAATAATAATAATAATCACTCTTCCCCTTTTCGTTTAGATTGCTTTTCCCATCTTCTGTTGTTTTTTCTTTCATTCTACTTGTTCACGTTATCTGTTTTTTTGAGACATTTAGGGTATGCTTGTTTCTTTATTTTCAAAGGCTGTTTTTAGGTTTCAAAATGCAACTAAACAAGATTGTAAGGTGTATTGCAGAGTGCGGAAATGAGGGAGACATGGGGCAAGATAAAAGTGGAAGAAAAAATGAGAACATCTTCGACTGCTTCTACTATTTTGGTTTTGAAACACTTGGGTTGAAAACAATTTTCACTTTGTAGATTTTTAGTAAGAAATTGATGGTTCAGTAGTTTGAAATTGTTTTAGACAAACAATATTTAAAAACTGAAACGTGAGAAGTGATCAAACAGACAATTGGTTTTTGTTCAGTTACTTTTCTTGTTTGATAATTCTTCTGAGTTTACTTGTCCATTTTTTTTTATTTATTTCAAGTGCCTGAGTTGCAAGGAGAGCCTGAAGATATCTCCAAAGAGAAGGCTCGAATGGCTGCTCTTCAGGTACCTTGTTACCATTTTTTCTTAATTATGCTTAGCCTTGTCTGATTGCAGTTTTTTTTTATTTCCTGTTTTTTAAACATTTTTATACCTTTTTTTGTCCGTGTATGCCAAGGTGAATGGACCTGTGTTGGTTGAAGACACTTGCCTCTGCTTCAATGCCTTGAAGGGTCTTCCAGGTGGATTTTGTTTTTTTTAATGCTACGTAAGCTGGGATTATTATACAACCTGACTGGTTTTGATTGACTGTTTCAAACTTTTTTCAGGGCCTTACATGTAAGTTCATTTTCACCCAAACCATTGTGTGCTCAGGTGAACTTTATTCCCCTTTTTATGTCATAATCGTTTAAGCTCTCATATTATTGTTACTCATTTATATGGTAGCTTTTGGCATAAAATTGATATAGGAAAGAACAAGAAGCATATGGTTTCTTCAAATTGGCTGAAACTATGGTAGGAAACTGATCTTGATAGAGATTATAGAATAGTTTTTTATGTATGTACTTATTAGGCCATCTTTGTAGTTCTGAGACAGTTTGAAATAACAAGTTTGGTTGAGAGAGAGAGAATTATCTAATGATTTGAGATGAAATTGGACTTTTGGGCTTTTGGAGGCATAGATCCTCAAAATCCGTGTTCTGTTCAGTAATTTGAGGACTTCTTCCCTTTATTGCCATTACAAATATTTCGTAGATTTTTAACAATCTTCACTATTTTGCTTTAGTCCCAACATCTATCTTAGTTTGGCATGACTGCTTGCTTGACTTGACTGCTAAGGTTTTCCCAGAGGAAAAAAATCAGAGACAAAGTAGAACAGAGAGCTAATTTGAACAACGTCACATTTTTATATTTTGTAACATTGGCTAAGTGTGTCTATAATTTTAATTTATAAACCATGCCAAAGGTGCTGTTTGAATGGGATTCTCCTAAGATCTTTCTGACTTGTACACACCACCTTTGTTAAGCTATTTGGTCGTGTTTTGGATCCTAGGGGTTTAAACGGAGCTTACCTAACTCTAAATGGTTTCAAGTGTTGCAGCCCTGTTTATTTTAGTTTAGGAAATGTGTTTGTGAAGATTTGTGCAGTGCATTCCTCTAGTGCTCTTCTTAATTTGACAATGTTTAGATATTGGTTGCTCAATTAGGAAAATCCTTAGGAGTTAAGGTTGCTTCTAAATTTTGGTATTGTAAACTGAGGTTGACTACTAGGACAAGGGGTCAAGTGGGCAGGTTAACGCACATGGCTTCCCAACTTGAGTTTTAGGTTCACACTTGCCTCTTAACCTTCTGAAGAAAACATTCATTATTCCTTAAAAAACAGCATATATGCGTGAAGAAAACATTCATTAAAGCCTTGAAACAGCTTACGATTTTACAAGTTCTTACTAGTTGAGCACACTAAATGTAATTTTGTCATGTGTCAGTGGAAATCACCAAAGTATGTGAACTTATTCACCAAGCATGTGTAGTAAATATTTTTTGAGCAAAATGTAAGACATCCTTTGAACAAATATTGCTTGTTTGTGCATGTATTCGGGGGCATATGAGTATTCCAGAGTGTTTATTTGAGCAAGCTTGACTTGCTTAGTGATCATGAAACCATGTAGCTTGAATTTTGTAATTGTTTTGTTTGCTATAAGCCAACTAAATCAAGTTTAGCACACCACCTTAAGGTGGCATTATTGATTATTTCAGTATCCCCATGTTAATTGGCTACGATTATGGGTGTTTTGAAGAAAGCAACTTGAGAAATTAAAAACTTGGTAAAAGTTCACTTTGGCACCTGAAATATTTTTTATTTGTTCATGGTGAATAGTTTTAAATACTTTGGTGACTTTGCTAATGTTAAGCGGACTTGCATACTTTGTGAATAACTGTTGGGGTTTAATAAGAAGAAAATGGACAAAAGTCTAGCATGGATGCAAGTATTAATTGATGCATGCAGGGTTATTTAATGTAAATGCTGTAAGAAGCCTATAAAGAGAGGCCTGTAGGCTTTGAATTATCCATTTCTTATTTTTTAAAACAGCTGCTTTTAGTTATATAACCAGTGTGCCTTTCAATTTTCTTAAATATTTTTAGGCCTTTATTTAGAGGATAGAATTTCTTTGAAGTGATTTTGCAATAAAGTGGGATGTATTGTTTTAATTATAATATTACGGATGTATGATTTGTCACAAATAAAAAGTGATCATATAGTTTGGATGGTTGTTTTCTGACTGACCGGTTTTTTTGCATTTCCTGTTTGATGCTTATGTAATATTCTCATCCTTGTAGGTCATTGTCATTGAATATTTGAATGTAAAAAATATTCATCTGAATTCTTTCAAGCTTTAGTGTGTGCACTATTTCTGAATCATCAGCATTTAGCAAGTGAGACTTTTTAGATTCATTGATGATTATTGTCTAATTGCATTGATGTATCATGCAGCAAATGGTTTCTGCAGAAGATTGGCCATGAAGGTTGTACATAAACTGCATAATTTTGGATCAGTTTTCAATTTTTAGCACATGTTTTCAGGAATAAGGATATCCCACAAAATTTGATTTACGCATTCCTCTGATTCATTTTCCAGGTCTCAACAATTTGCTGAAGGCATATGATGATAAATCAGCCTTTGCCTTGTGTGTATTTTCCTTTGCAGCAGGTCCAGATAGTGAACCTATCACATTTTCTGGAAAAACTCCGGTATCTCTTTGAATCCCTGCATACATAATTATGAATGCATGTATTTTCTTTGCCAGTTTAATATTGAATCTCCTTTCATCTAGTTAGCAAAATGTTTGAATGTTATGATCAAGAGCCTACGAGAATATCATAAATAATGTGTTTTCAGTTGTAAAAGTTTGTTCATATTTCCTCCTAACCAAACATAAGTAGCACAATCTACTTCTCCATATTGAGAAATGCTAGCAACACGCTCCAGACATTTTCTTAGGGAAAAGTGTATTTTTGCTCTTATACTTTACTTTAAACTTGATTGTAGACCCAGTATTTTTAAATTGATGAATTAGTCTTTCAACTTTTAAAAATATATGAAATTAATTATATTTTATTCTTAAATTTAACATTTAGATGTTGTTTTTGACTATTACAAAAATGGAGGAAGGACAAAATTGACATATTTTATTAAGCCTGAATACTAACATCAATTTCAAAATACATAGACCAAAACCAATTTTGATCAGGTACAAGAATTAAAAACACAGTTTTCCCCTTTTTAATACTTTCTTTAGTAATGATTAAATGAATCTCACTTCTTATCTAATGAGTTTCACTCATGATTTTTATAGCTTCCCATCAACTTTTAACTCGTAATATAAAGCATATCAAAATGTGTTGCTAGCATTTCTCTTTGAAGTTTGGCGAGTGTTGATCAATTCACTTGACTTAATAGAAAGTGGTTGATATGTGATATATATATATATACACTACAATTTATACATCATTCTTAATGTATGAATGTAACTAATTCCTTTTTGTGGTGTTAATGTTAGGGGAAGATTGTTCCTCCAAGAGGGCCAAATGATTTTGGATGGGATCCTATTTTTGAACCTGAAGGCTATGACCAAACGTATTTCAATCCCTTCATGTTATGTCGGTTCAAACGTTTCATTTTCTTGCAAAAGCTTATTCATTCCATTTACTCACTGTAGGTATGCAGAAATGGCCAAAGAAGAAAAGAATAAAATTTCTCACCGCTCCAAATCTCTTGCATTGGTCAAATCTCATTTTGCTGAAGCTGGATATACTTTTGAGTTTTGAGATCCAAAACGTGTGAAAGCTGTTGTGTATGTTTTTTCAATGTGGTAGATTATAGACTTGAAAAGAAAAATGTTTCTGACAGTAGCAATGTGGAAATTGTTTCCAACCTTTTTGTTTACAACAATAATTCATATTAGGGTAAGATTAAATTTTAGTTTCTCCAAATATATGAAACTTTTACTTTAGTTTGCATGAAAGAAATAATGTTTAGTTTTTATATTTATCACAATGTGATTTACCATTTGCGTAGTATAGTAGCACAAGAATTTGGGTCTCCATCAATTAATAAATTTTATATCACATTATTATTCTATCTAAAAATAAAAAAATAAAAAAATTCTCAATTTCAAGTTTATTAGGATAATATTACTAAGATTAATTATTATATTTAAGATATTATTTATTTTAAAATTTTAATTTAATATTTAAAAAATTTCAAGAATATCAAAATAATTATAATTATTGTCTTTTATTTTTTTAAAAGTGATTTGGGTCCTTAATTTTTTTTTCAGGATTCTTACACATTAAGTTTATATACTGTTAAAGATGCTTTGGTGATTAAAATAGGACTTTGTAATTAATTATTTCATAAATTGATAGAATTGATTTATTTTACTACACTTGCGTATTTAAAAAACATATTTTCATATTATAAACTTTTAAATTTGTCCAATTTTCCAAAATTAAAAAAAAAAACTTGTTTTTTTATTCCGTGGTGAAGTTGTGATTGTGACAATACAGTAGTGTTCAAGGAAGTGTCGGTTGAAAAATGCAGAGTGAATTATTTGGTGGCACCGACAACTATCAACGGTACCAAAATACGTACATTTTTTAGTTCTGAAGAAAAAATTGCATTTTTGTCGAATTTCATTTACTTTTGTTTCTTCTTCAAATATCTTTTTCATTTTCATTTTCTTTTCTTCGTAGAACAACAGGAATTCAATTACTTTTAAAACTAACTTCCTATCTTAATTGTTCATAATTTTTAATGATTATAGTAATTAATTCATTTTCAACTATTAAATGATAGAAAATAAAAAGTTAAGATGAACAATAATTTTTTTAAGAGTTATTATAGAAATAACGTGATCCTCTTTGTATATATCTAATTGATTTAACGTAAATATTTAAAATAATGTATGTATTAATTAATTGTATAATAAAATTTAGAGTTAAATAAGTTTTTTTCTAAATTTTTCGTCAAATTCGATTTTATTTTATTTTAATTTTAAAATTTGATCATTAGTCTTTAAAATTTAAAATATATAAATTTAATTTTTTATCAATTTTATGATAAAAAAAATACTAAATAAAATAGAGAAGGTAATGGTTGAAATAGATTAGTTTTGGCTAGAGTGTCCAAATCTATTATTATATATTTGACATATTAAAAAATATTTATTTTATCAAAACTCTCTTATAAAAAATTACTATTAAATATTAAATCTAAATATAAAAAATATTCAAATTTCATATTTCTAAAAGTTTACAAATCAAATAATAAATTAAATGTTTTTCTATAATTTTATATTGGACATAGTATTGGAGAAACAATCCACGTTAGATTATGGACCTGAACTCACGTTTTGGGCCATGTCGAATGAATATTGGCACTTTCTTCTGCAGCTCTTTAATTTCTTCCTATACTCTATAGTTTAATTAAATTTTATTTTATCTTTATATCTATTTTTATTTTCATAAATACTTATGGTCTTTAAACTTTTGAATATCTAATTTTTAAATCCTTATTAAGTATTTTCATTATCACTTCTTCAATTATTTTAAGAATGATAAGAAGAAATAGGTAAGAATCTCCAACTATTTTTAATTTATATCATTTTTTTTACCATAGTATCTGCACAATAAGATTTTTTCTGCTGGAAACACGTTTTGGATTGAAAATACAGTTTTAGAAAAAAAATCTAGAAACATGTGGTGAGAGTGTTCTAAAATATATTTTTAGAAATTAATTTGCAAAAATAAATTCCAGATGGTGAATTCGAAATACACTGAATTACACATTTTGAAAGTGTATTTCAAGCCCATTAATCCGAAATATATTTTTAGAGAAAATTAAATTCAAAAATATATTTTGAAACTGATAGAAAAAAAATTAAAATACATTATAAATTTCAAGAAATACATTATAGAATGATAGGTCTATAATACACTTGTAATATGCTTCTAATTCAATCTCATCCTTATCATATTTTTTATCTTCCTCTCACAAATTAAGGAATGCACCCATTCACAACCATAAAAAAATCGTTCCTAAGTAATACTCAACTTGGTCCTTTAATAACAAAATGATAATAATAATAAAAAAAAACCCTTCCATATAAAGCCTTGAGAATTATGCAGACTCATCCTGAGTTTTTTTTTGGGTAGTGTCCAATGAAAATGAATGCAGAGATAGTATTTTACTGGCAACCTTAATTTCATTGTTCGTTAGGTTTCATAAGCTTCATCACAATTTCCCAATGTTTTTGTTTCTTAGCAAAATAATTACATTTGTCCATTCTGAATTACTATGACAGTATCATTACCCTTTGGAGCATCCCCTTGAAGAAGAAAAATAACTTAAAAAGAAAAACATTTTAATCAAATGATAATAAGAAGTTGCGATATTGTTGTAATTATACATTATCTAATCAGTTTCAATTGGGTTAACTGTTTGTGAGATGATTGTGAAGTGGCAGAACTATACATAAATAGTTTGAAACTAGATTTCAAACATGATATGAGAAATTCTTGAATGGAATGATGGATTGAAAACCAAGATAAGAGAGTTGCAATTATTCTTTTGGGACCAAGAGAAGAACCCTAGCAAATCGAATGTTTCACGTCGTGAGATCCAAATTCACCTCTGGGAATAATAACGATAATGATTAGTTATCATTTGTAAAAATTGCTTGTTTCTTGAAATCCAAAATAAATTGTGAGAGGGTGGGGTCCTTGTTGGGTCTTATGGGATAATTATGATAGTTTGGAATGTGTCTAAAATTTTCTTGAGCCCCTCACTCTCACTCAAAGTTGTCTGCAATACCCAAATAACATAAACATTTAATAATGAACATGTAAGTTTTACCAACGAAGATAGCGAGGGATATGTTGATAGAATGTGAGTGACTTGATTGACCTTTGAATTTTGAAGCTTTTTTCTCTTGTGGGGCCAGTAGGACCAGGGTTACCCATTAACCATTGTCGGTGCAACAAATCTAGGTTCATCAACCCTCTGATTATTCCTTTTTTCTAACCTTGGCCTCAAGAATTTACCATTGGGTTGGAACTTTGCAACAGGGTCACAAATATTGCTAAAGAAGTATTATGACCTATCACCTATCATTTTGTCTATAGGTAATACCTACCATGGCAATTTTCAACACACAACTTTTCCTGCATGTTTCCACAAGCCTTTTGGATCGTCGGGTTTAATTTTGAGTTGCATGTTGTATTTAAAAAAAAAAAAGCTCTTAAATATTTGAATTTGAGATTATTGCTTGTTGTGTCTTGTTTTTTTAATGAAAAACTGAAACCACACTATATTGAGACACAATGCCCTTTGTTACCTGAATGAGAGCTGGCTCCTTCAACACAAATGCCAATATCAAGCAACTATTTTGAAGACACATGTTGAAGAAATGATTCTAGATACCAATAAAATTTAGATACAATGAAATTTCATTGAAAACCATATTTATACAACTGTGAGAGCAATGTTATGTGTAAGTGGTAGAGGTGGCGAATTTGCAAAGAAAAAGTGCAACTTTGGAAAGTGAATGGACAAGTTTCCTAACTCGAACCCCATATGATCTGTAACCCAATTTTGGCCTACAACTATCTCACATGCCCTATGGACCCTATCTCACATGCAGTGGAGGAATAGTCTTTATTACAAATCTAACCATGTGCATTCACCACTCATCAGTCACCACTGTCTCTGTTTAGCACTGTCCATTACTCTCTCCGCAGGCATTTACTAGGTGCCCCCAACCAGTGGTGACAGTGCAGAACAAAGACAGAGACATTTGAACAATACTCCATTTCAGTTACCATGTTCTGTTTTCGCCATTCACAACTTAAGCACCTCTTTCATTCTAGTGAAAGTGATGTTAGTCTTTTTTTCTGGTTTCTCCTAACTCATTATATCAGATACTAATCTTATTTAATTTACTGATCTAAATATTATGTCAACCTTTCGAGTTAGTTCATGTTAATTTAAGTCAAATGGTATTTTGTGGTGAGCAGTGATTATCCTCCTGCTATATATTATTAGATATTAGATATTTAAAAAATAGTAGTTTTATATGTTTATACTCAGTGTATATTTTACGTCACATAAGTGATGAAGGCTAAGTAAATGTGATTACAAATAATTATTGATCTATATACTTGTGACATTAGCAGTTAAATATGTTTTGTTATCATTCTAATGAGATTATTGAAATGTCTAATAATTAACTGTGGGTGAACTTGGGGTGGAGAATTCTAAAAGGAAGATGATCCTTTATATACACGCTGTCCAGAGAATTGTACATTGGAAAAATAGAGGACAAAACCAACTGTAGAGAGATACTTTAAAATCATGGCATGTGTAGTTCATGATATCACCCCATGATAATGTGAAAGGCAGGGAAATATCTTTAAGTAATCGCTAGTTAGCATTAAGCGGGGACAATGTAGGTAAAAGGGGTCATCGTGTTAATTAGAAAGATAATGAGGGAGGATCGTGTGGTGCACATGAACAAATCGCACATGTTGGTAGAGAAACGAACACTGGCAGATATGTTAATGATTTACAACCATAATTGCATAACAAAAGCAAAGATTACTTCCATTGACAAGGAAAAAAAAGGCTAAAAAGTTGAGAAAGTTAAAAAGCAACACCACAGCTATTACAATTCCATAATCGCCATTGATAAAGTGTTTCCATATAACTCAACTTTGACAATCATGCTTTTTGCTTGTATAATTAACTCAACAAAACAAATAGTGAAAAAATAACAAAAAAGAAAAATCATATATAATATATATATTTGGCTCATTCAAATCCTATAAAAAAAAAACTGAGAAAGACTGAACAGTATGTAAGGGGACATGATTTGACATTTGGAAAAATATGCATATGAATTGGTGGGTAAGGTTGATGAGATGAGATGAGCTGGGAAGGACCAAAGGAAAAAGCAAAAAATGAAAAGGGGAAAACAATGGATGGCGCTTCTGCACCTGCTCCTACAATTGCATTGTTTGTTTCAGCTGGAGCAAGTCGAGCAGCTAAGGTTGACCAACAGCAAAACACACAATGTGGCAATGGGGTAACATAAACCATATTGACATGTGTAATTAATGTACACTTGTCAAGAATGCAGGATGATGGAGGTGTGAGGAAAGCAATGGATATATGATGATGTTCACCTATAATGTGGTAAAAACTTAGAATCAAACACAAAAGAAAAATAATTGCTCTTTCATTCACATTGCTGGTGGTTGATGTATGCTAGCACTGATGGCCTCTTTTGCAACCGAGTGCACCAGCATTTGAGGTCATGGAACCAACCATGGAAGAAGATTTGGCTCCTAAGCTTGAGGCCCTGGCATAACTGGCTGAGGCTCCAGCGCCTGATGGGGTGAAAAAGGCACCATTCAGTAACAAATCTCCCTCTGACCTCCAATTCCAACCCTTCCACTGGCTTTCTGCTGTTTCCACTCTCTTAGTCACCTGTTAGCACCAAGATTTTTGTCTCAATCAGTTGGTGAAACTATTAAAACGTGATTAATTTACAGCATCACATGGATTGAATGATTAATTGTACTATTGTACCTCCTTGGCAAAAGGATTAACAGGAGCATTGTATCGGTTGCCCTGGCTGTTAATGGTGGGGTTAGCACTTCCACCAATAGCATACATCTCCCAGTGAGTGTAGTCATTGTTCACCACGTGAAAATATCCATGTCTACACCTGCATTATTCATGACAAATGTTTTGTTAGATTAGATTACATGATATTCCACCTCTGATTTGAAATACTCCATCGCAGCAGGGGACAAAATAGCCCTATCCAGTTGTTGATTTCAGCTAATGGCTACACCATCTGGTCCCCCACAACTAATTCTACAAAATTTGTGATTTCCTTAAACTGAAGAAGGAAGCTTAAAAACAAAATTATTGCACCAAAGGGGGTTGCTGCGAGTCTGCCATCCAGACCAACCTATCTTTTGGTTACATTTATTTGCATTTAAAGCAAAAAGGAAAAAAAAAAAAAAACAAAAGGGGTATCAATGCAAAAAGTGACATTAAATATTACCGTGGCATTCTCTGGATAAGTCCCTCTCCGAAATGGTTGTATGCGATGGTCACTTGCATGAGCTTGTCTCTTGTGTAAGAGTCACTGTGGCCCAGCAGAATCACCTGAATTTGCAAAGAAATAAGATAACAAACTTGATCCATAATTCAATAAGGGAAAAAGTGCATTTTGCCACAGAGGAAACTAGAGTGAAAGTACCTCATTGTGGTGGGTGAAGTGGTTGTTTGAAATAGTTATGGCTGTTGAGCCCATGACAGCATCCACAAGGCCATCAGCACAGTGGGACAAGGAGTTGTGATCAACCCAAATGTGGCTTGAGCTAAATATGGAGATGGCATCGCCATCAGCCATTGTCCTCCAGCCAAAGTGGGTGGGGGAGCTCCTGACCATGGCATTTCCAGTGGGTTTGCAATCATGAATATGCAGGCCATGGATGATGACATTGGTGACAAACTGGATTGTGATGCATGCCCCATTAGCAATGTGTACATTGACTCCTCTTCCATCAATGGTCTTGAAGCTGTTCATGATTAGCTCTTGCTTCAACTGAATAACCATGTCCCTCTGGAACACAATCCACAGGGGCCTGTCCTGGATCACAGCATGGCGAAGAGTGCCAGGTTTAGGGTTCACAGGGTCATCGTCCCTGGGGTCAGTCACAACATAGAACTTGCCATCACGACCACCAATGGCATTTCTGCCAAAACCAATGCCACAATCTGCAAGACGCTTCCTGTTGCGTTGCCAGTCGGGATCACAACGCCAGCAATCATCAATGGGGTTACCAGTTCCACAAGAGAAAAACCCCAGATTCCTTCTCTGTGTACTATTCTGGATGCTCCTGTAATATTAACAACATGGTTTTCTTAGTGCCATCAGTGTCAAACAGCTATCTTTATTTGATGTTATGTTATACATGCTCAATCAAACATTATACCCAATTCTCATTGCTTAACACATTAATAGTTTAATAACATGCCGAGATGTGACACAAGTTGAACACATTTGGTGTTACAAACTGAATAACATTGTTTTCATTATGCCATCAATGTAATCAACGATCTTTATTTGGTGTTATGCAAGCTCAATCAATCTACTCTAAGTGATCAGTTCTCATGTAATTTCCAATTTTGTTTGCTTCCAACATTAATAGTTTAAAACTATGCCAATATATGTTACAAATTAAACACATTTGTTTGCAAATGCTCGTGTTAAATTCCTGTGAGGCATGTATGTAAATGCAGACAAAATATTCCGGCTTTTTGTAGCACAATAATTAGGCCTAATCTCAACAGGTAGAGTCAGCTAACAGGAATAAAATAAAGCCAATGGACACAACTCAAGATAAAAATTTTAGTAAATCTTCTTGAGCTTTGTAGAGGAAACAAACGATGTCAAAATAATTTATTCATGTGACGAGTGAAGACAAAAGGAATTTTCCTAATTGTAACGGCTAAATATTCTTGGCCTTTTCTGGAGTAGAAGATACGGTAAATATGCCTTTCTGTCACGACATGGATCTTGACCCAAGTATCCAACTGCGGTCACATTGCTAGGAATTCACCAACCAACACATGGTAAAAATTGCACAACAAACTCAATCCACGTATCAAGCACCGAAAAATTTGATCAGAACTGCTAGAGGCAACTGTTTTTAATGGGACAGAAAGAGTTGTACCCGGAAGTACAACACACATTGATGAGGAAACATTAATTAATTTGCTTATGGACAAAGGGATTAGGTTTATAATGGCATGCAAAAGCACCATGAAGCGTGAAGAAGGCTACATAATGAGAAAGTGCATGTGACTGAAACATGAAAAGGAGAGAGACGATGACCAAAAATGTAGCTGGTTAGTGACAAAGTAATGTTCCCCAACTCGACATGCCAAAAGGGTCAAAAAAGAAGAAAAGGGTAAGTCTTCAAAGTTTCAAATTCATTCAACTGTGGCAAAATCAGGAAAGTAAAGTGACAGAGAAAAAATGGGTGAGTTGGGTAAATAGTTAGGTCCCAATTCTCAAGAGAGTTATGAATGCTAACAAAATTCCAGGGCACACCACTACCCTACCCCCCATTACACTCAATAGTCCCTACTCCACGTGAATGTATAAATTAATATAAACATAATAAAACATTATATATCATCATAGGTGCATGTAGTTTTATCTTTTCCTTTAACCTACGTGCTTAGCTATGAATGGGCATTGTAACAAGGTTTGTGTATGTAGTGTAAATGAAGAGAGAGAGGGTGAAATAGAGACCCACATCTCAACCATTGAAACCACTTCCTCTGGGTTAGCCACTGCAGCTTGTTCATTTAATTTCTCAGCCTCTATTGCCCTGAAAGAAACAGTTACAACAAGCACAGTCACAATCATATAATCAATAAATAAGCAAACAAACTACTAATTCAATACACATATTATTTCACTATGTAGGCTTAGTTATAGCAGTCATATGACAACATTAAACTTTGCATAATGAATCAATTTTTCTAGTAATAACCAAAGTTTGACTTCTGCACTAATAGTAAAGATAGAAGCAATAAATAAACTACTCCTTCTGGTGAAATTGTAGGGAAAATTAAAAATATTTTTATTTTATTTTATTCAAGTCGGCAACCGTGACCTGTTAACTATAGTCCTTTCTGTACTATAATAAATTAAATAGTTAATAAATACAAAAGGAGAAACAAATTGTTTACCTTCAAAACCAATAAACACCTATTTTAGAGGAAACAAATTGACAGCACAATATAACAAAATTTAAAATAAAATAAAAATAAAAATTCAACAGGGACACTTGTCGGTGACTGACTTGCGTAACTATATTTGCTCCGTAAAAAGTAAAGGTGAAAAAAACAACGTAATAAAAACCGTTAAGATAAAAAAAGTACTCATCTTATCCTCTGAATTGGAATGACCAGAGTACCCTTAAGAGATCAGTATTGGGCAGGGTAGTTTTGGAAGAGGAAAAAAAGTTTGTTGACGGTTAACCAACTCTTTAATGGGTGTGGTGTGTGGAGTTATTTTGCTTTTGCAGAACACTCAAAGCAAACAAACACAGAAGAACGAACATAACTGAATAAACGATCCAGATCGAAGCATCAACGATTTTTCAACGGCTGTGATTGTTAGTTTCGGATTCTCAATCCAACGGCTGAGACTTAAAGTAAGAACTCAGAACACACGGTCCAGATTAACCGGCGTTTCAAGGAAGAAGGATTAGAGTTTTAGCTTCTTCTAACGGTGGAAAGAAAGGACACTAACCTCTCCGCCATTGACGAGTTCTGCAAGCTCGGCAACCTTCGGTTTTCCACTTCAACATTCCTATAACCACAAAAATGAAAAAGAAAAAAATGGTTCAGAGCAAGATCTTCATTTTCTCTGTGTTTCACTAGGAATATGCAGAGAGAAAAATGAGCCCGATGAAAATGGGTGTTCAGTTTGAAACGCGGAATTGAGATTTTCCTTTTCAAAAACCAAACAAGTCACAATGCGTTTAGCTTGTTTCTGTTTTCGCTTCAAAAGCAGTATTTCACGTCAGAGATCGCACATTGCTTCCCAAAGAGTGTATATAAAAAGGTTGCAACCCACACCACGGGAAATAACTTTTGGGGGTGAGAAATACGAAAATGAGGAACACTCTCTGTTTGGGTTTCGAAATCCACACAATGTAGCTAAGCTAACAAACCCAACCAGAAAACTTAGAAAACCATGCTTCTGACAGTGAAACAGAGTGTGTGTTGAGACCTGAGGTGAGAGATCTGTGGTGTGGTGGTGGCCATGGCTTGTTGTTGAACGAGCAGCAGCAGCAGCAGCGCCAGAAGCAGCAAGAGGACCCACCGCGCAGAAGAAGAAACCACCACCGCCATTGCAGAAAGTTGAATTCCCTTCGCTCTCAGTGCTTGTTTCTTTGGAAAAAGAACGAGAATGTTGTAGAGATAGAGAGAGAGAGAGAGAGAGAAATGGTTGATAGGTATATAGAGAGAGAATTGGGTGGAGTGGACTCAGAAGAACAGGTTCCAACATAACGGTTTTTTATAGACACCAAACCACAAACGGCAACTCTTTGACGGCGTTAGGTAACTGATCGTTTTTCTTGTTTGGGTCTTCGCCGTCTCTCTCACACCGTTAACTAACAAAGTACTACTGTTACTGTTGTTTGTTGTTGCTTTTGGCTTTTGCTTTTCTCTGCTCCTTCTTCTTCTCCTTCTATTTCTTTAACCCTATCTCACTTTTTTACCCTCTCTCTCTCTCTCTTGCACGTGGCTCCAGTACCTGTCACATGCCCTCGCAAGACATGCCACACTGTTGCTAATTACTAATTACCAATTACTCATACTAATACTAATTACCAATACTAATACGATTATTAATTAATACTAATATTAAGATCTAAAATCGTGTACCAATCACCACCTCACACCCCCTTTCTCTTTTTTACTTTCAACTTTTTTTCCCCACTTTATCCACCAGTCACTGCCCAACTAACTTCAAACGGTTTTTAATTTGTCTACAATATCATTGTCACTTCATAATGCAATCTTCTATGTCTTGTCCCATTTTAATTTCTTATTATTCCTCTATTCCAATTTCATTTCCCTTTCACCATCAACTAGATTAATACTTAACACAATTTTTTGCAGCTTGGATTAATAGTTGAAATTGATAAATATTTGAAATCTCAACTATCACACATTTTCCTTCATAAGATTTTGTTCCATTTTTAATTTCTCCCTTCTCTTGTTTCTTCCCCTACACGTAAATAATGACGTAATTGTACAAAGATATGTTTTTTTTTTTTTCATAAGAAGGTTGATTTTGGTGGGGTGCAATTAATGTAGTTTTCATGTATCATTGGGTGTCCGAGAAGGAATTGAATTTTCTTACATCACAATTCAATTGATTATGCTTGAAGTAAGCATAGTTAAGTAGTGAGAAACTAATTAGTAGTCAAAGATGATTATAATCAGACACTACTATAACATAGTAATTATGATCTTGTATTTTAATTTAACCTATAAACAAGTAAACATGTTGATATTATTGTGAAAAACTAAAATGCCAATAAATATAATTGATAAATAAACTATATGTATTAATTATTTTTTTTAAACGGTTGAAAGTCTTATATCTTTATATATGGTTTAAATATATGTTAGACTATTCCACGCATTAGATTAATTTTTTATTTTACGACGTAACTTTATCAGAAAAATAAAAAATAAAAAACGAAAAATGAAAAGGGGAAAATTGGCCATTACATGGTGAAGAAAAGAAGAATTAATCGGGTGAATATTATGGGATGAATGAATGAATGGCATGAGAGAGAATAAGTGCAATAAATAAAGAGTGGTGGGTAGTGAGAGTGGGGACCACGTGAGGAGAGAGAGAGAGAGAGAGGAAGGAAGACATCCCCGGGAGTTGGGGCCGTACGAAATTTGGATTAACAGAAAACACAAATCTCACAGTTTACTGCTGATTTCACGCCCAAATCCACACAACGCGTAAGAATAACGACAACTACTCACAACAAGTAAGATCATATAATAAATTATTTTTTATTTGAATTTTATATATTAATACATAAAGTAATTTTGACACATGTATAATCTTCTTAATTTATTTAATAAAATATTATTTAATAAATAAAACTTTAAAAACATTTATAGACTGAATCAACGTAACCTACTTCACCACTTTTAATTTTACTCTTCCAAATTTCAATTAGATTAATTGAATTTACAAGATATTAATTATTACTAAAAATAATTTAACCTTACAAAACCTAAAATATGAACAAACCAAAAAAATTTACTGTAATAAATTCTAATATATTAAAAATAATTAATTAGTTCATTTATCTTGATTTATAAAACAAAATTTATGTCTTATATAATATATATCCAATAATATAATTTAGTCTTTCAAATTTATCACTAAAGATTAAAATCACTCTATTATTACATTAAAGAAATTTTATTAGCGTAATTATCATCATAATTGTTAGGCAGATTCACGTATTGAGTAAATAATTTATTTAAGGAAAAAAATTGTGTTTAATTCTCATTATGAATATCCTTTGAAACGCAAGTACGATTATATTATATAGATAAGAAATATTCACGCGAGAAAGAAAAGCTTAAATAATTTAAGATAAAATATATATAGTTTTTTTTTCAAAATTTATTGTTGCCTTTATATTTTAAAATTTATGAATTTTGTTTTTAATTTTTAAAAATATATAATTTTAATAATTATTCATATTTACATGAAGTAGACAAAAGTAGAATAGTGAAAAGCAAAAATATGTTAAACTAATTAGAAAAGGAAGAAAAGGAATATTGGTGATTTTTTTTTGTTTTTTGTTTAGGGTTTGTTAATTTTTTATTGGCGAGATTGATTCCGCGGAAAACGTACCTTGAAGATGCGCGCTAATCACGGGCAGTGACTTTCTTTTGAAGATTAATGAGTTTGACGACTCTTATTCCATTCTACACCATTCAACCCTTACCAATAAAGTTACTTTTTTTATTATTTACGTGAAAAATTAAAAATTATAAGATTTAAATTTTTATATTTTATTCTCTTCATAAAAATTTATGAGATTAAATGTTTAAGATATTGATAAAGTTTAAATCACACAATACCTAACGCTTAAAAATTAACCCTAATAATATTATTATAACAAAAATAAAAAATTCAAAACACTCTCACTTCTACGTTTATCATTCCCTTTGGGTGGGGTAGTTAAATAACATGGAATTTCAAAATTTTAATTTTAACATATTCGAGTAGATAGATGAAGTGGTTATGAACAAATACTATTCAACCTAATGAATTAGGCAACGTATAAATAATTTATTCTATAACTTATAGGTGTCGGTTATGAAAATGTTATAAACTACCAAGAGAAATAATCATAGGTTAATTTTACTTTAAAATCAATTGATATTCCATGGGATTTTCTAATAATTTTATAAATCATGTCTTGAAGTAGCGTATAAACTTTTTCAACATATTGCATCACTGTGTCCAAAGGTAACATATACTTTATTAAGGTATGCTTAATTTTGCTAAATTCACAACCAAATGAAGAATATCATTCTAATTATCTTATTTTATCACAAATAAAAATAACAACTTTCTTTAATTTTGGTTTCATTTTACAAGTCTTTATAAATTTCCATTAAGATCTAACAAGAAATTACCATAAATTTCGATTGAAAAGTCTCACATTTTTCTAAGTATAAAGTGTAAATACTTTTCAAATAATTTTACTTAATGTCAATTAGTTACGGATTAGAATATACCACCAAATTATTAATAGCTACATATTAGATTTTATCTTATTAAATAAAACACCGTGTTTAAGTCTTATAAATAAAAAAGTAAATTAAGAAGAAGTTTATATCATTTATCTTTATTATTGACATAATTATTACTTATCATAGTCACAGACAAAGATATAATTTTTTTTATTAATTAATATTTCTCATTTCAAAGTATGAAGGAACAAAATAAATAATAAAAAAATATTTTTTCCCTGATCATTTGTTCCTCTTGAAACATAAGGGTTGAGTTTGACTTGTGATCTTTCACTTTCAATTTTCTTTGGGGAAAATGAGGAAATTTGACTTTAACCCAAGTGTTTAATATATAATATAATGTTGTATTATTGAAAAGTTATTTTATTTTTAGTCTATTTCACAACCTTCAAGAAAAACTTTTTGTTCAAATTTTATGTTTTTCACTTTCTCCTGAATTTAATGCACTACCATCTTTTTCTTTATATTTATCCGAATACTATTTTTTTTTTTTGGAAAAAAACAATATATTATATTAGAAAACAAATAATCGTTTAATACTTGATTTTCTAAATAATAAAAAACATTCAATCAAGTGTGTATGATGCAATTGGTAAGATTGTTCTAATAATTACTTAATTAGAGTCTCAAAATTGTAGAAAAATGTTTCACAATTTTCATTCATATATATTATCCCAACTTATTATTAGAGTTAATTAAATATTAGGTATTATTAATGTGTTCTAGAAGGACAAAAAAATAATACTATTTTTAATAAGTTACTGACATAAAGTATAGATGAACAGTTTATTATTAAACAAAAAAAAAATGATTTTTAGGATTTGTGTATAGCAGCAAAGACATTACTAAAACTTTTCACTTTTGAAATTTTTGGAAGAGAAAGGAAATAGACAACTATCTCCAACCAATTCCCACACCAAACAACTTTTGACAAACAAATCATTCCTCAATCCATGCCACATCTCGCTGCTCATTTGCCCTATTTTTCCTTTCCTTGTTGCGAATTAGGGTTCTTTGAAAGAGATCGAAATTGGGTGTGTGAGAAACTGAGTCAAACCCTTCAGACTTGCCAACCCCTTAACCAAAACAAGAAAGAAAAAATTTAAAGAAAAAGATAATGGCATAATGGGCAACATGTGAATGCATCTATTGAACTGCTAAACTTCACCAAAACCCTATCTATAAAAATACACATAGTCATACAAAGTTTACACAACACATGTTTTTGTGTTGTTGTTCTTAATTATATAACTTAACCATTTTCACAGAAATATATTATTTCTTTTAGGTTAAATGTCTTAAAATATACATAATATATCATTATTAAATTAAAACTTCAAACCCCATATAAACTATCCTAATTTATAATCAAATTTTCTTAATTTATAAAAAAAAAACAGAATATAAATACATTCACGTGTGTTCTTGCCCTCTCTATCTTTAATTATTATTTTTTGTGATATAAATATAAATATTTTTACTCACCGACATAAGTTCAGGGAATGCTATAAATACTTACACGTACACGTAAACCTCATAATACACACTCTCATAATTCATCCAAAACTACTGAATTTATTAATACCCATTGTTTGGTTCACGAGAACAATATACATATTCCTTATCATTTTCTATTTTATTATCGCGTATTAATTGTAAAACATCTGAATGTGAAGTTGTGTTTATTTATTTTTATTTTCTATATATATGTATCTATTGCAACTCCTAACTATAAACTTTTTATTATTTGCGAGTAATAAAATATAATTCAAATTAATTAATATTTGAACAAAAATGATGGACAAAGAGATAAAACTAAGTTAAAAATTGTTAGTTGATTTTATTCTATGTCACACATGGATATAAGAAGCTCTTTCACTTTCTCTATTACAACAAATCAGCACCATACGCAAACCAAATCCACCATGGAAAAACTTGAATTGAATTAAAAGTAAAAACGGGTTATTAGGTATCGGAACCCTAATATACCTTTTGGAACCACCCTCTTCCCATGCAACAAAGAAACAAGGTGAGTGTGATGATGGCAAAGTTCCATGCCTATGAAGCTATGGCTAACATTCTTTTTAACGTAATTTTCACTTTTTTGTCCTCACGCTATCATCTCCATGTAATGAAAAAAAGAAGAAAAAAAAGGTTCACTAAGCATTATTACGATGGAATGCAAGCCTTTGATTGGGTGGACCAGTGTTCATGCCTCGCATGGGTTAGTTATGAGCTTTTGACTTTTTTCAGTTGAGAAGTTAAACACAAATCATTTGCTTCATACAACTTAAGAGACAAAATCATTGTTTCATCAAGACTCATGCATAACATCAAATATTTGAACAAATGTCAATGACCCCATCTATTTCTGTTCCGTGTTTAATTTGCAATTTTAGTATATGATTTTATTTTGTATGCGATTAAAATCATAAAAATAAAAATAAAAAACGGAGAAAAAAATTCCGAAGTGGAAGGAAATCAATATTGTAATTTAGTTTTTAAAAATATACAATGAAAAAATGTATTATTACTTTTAAGATTAAAAAACAAAATAAATAAGAAGTATATACTAAAGTAATGTGAAAAATGATGACGCTTATTATTTGTGTGGGGTGTTGTTTACCCTAAAAAAAATTCCAAGTTGCATGTTTTCAACTTCTGATTTCATACTCAATGCAATCGAACTCCTACCCACTAGATGAAACATTTCCATGTTTTCAACACATAACATGATAATAAGGGTCAATTTTTTATAAGGGGTAAATAAAGGTATATTTTCATAAAAAAATATATTAAATTTAACCCATATTACAATGATCAACACTTTTGTTTATATTTTTTTTCAATCTTGTATTTTCTCTTCTCCATATTTAGATTATTATTTTGGTCCATGTAAAGTCAAGAAATTTAGTTTTAGTTCGTGTAATTATTTTTATTTATGGTATTAAAATTTAAAATTATTATTTTTTATCCTTATTGTGTATGGAGAGATAGATATATGATATATTTTTAAAATTTAAATAAACTTTAAATACATTATATATTGAGATACACTGATTAGTGTCACATTATGGTGATTTAATTTCATGGGAACAAAATTTTGTTTAATAAATAAAATGTGTGATTTATAATTTATATTAACAAATAATATTTTATATATATATAAATTCCTTATTCATTAATTTTTTCTATATATTAAAAATTGTGAAATATCTAATTCAACTTCAAAATCACTATATAGTGAGATAATATTTATCAATATATTATAATATTATCATATTTTTAATTAATACAAGATTTTATCACATTTTTTATTTTAAAAAGATTTTTTTATCTAAATATTACGTATATTTTCCTTAATTAAATAAGAATAAATATACGAATGAGACGAAAAAAAATAGAAAAAAATGTAATATATAGAAATAACAAATGTTTATCGATAAAGTAAAATTAAAATAGTTTTATAATAAGGTTATGAATTATGAAGGGGAGGGTTTGAACTCTTTGCAAGCATCCATGGCTGAAAATGTGACAGAAAAGAGCAGTGTGAAGGTTTGGGGACCGATTGTGAGCACACTTCAAAACACTACAATACAATGCAATCCATACATTTCTACCTTCATCACCATGCCTTCGTTTTCATGGCGCACTCTCTTTGTAAAAAATAAAATAAAAGAACACATTAATTATTTTCCTTTGAGACCAAGTTTTCTAAAGTTTTGATGTGGTAAATGATTTCTATAATATATATTATATTTCTGAAAAATATTATAAATTTTTACAATAGACACCATTTCATAATAAAACAATTTCAAAATATTAAGTTTATAAATATTTTAATTTTTAAATTATTATAGGATTTGTTTTTTCTTTACTAATACTACAAAATTTCTTATAATTATATAAAATCAAACTATCATTTAACATCTCATTTTCTACTGATCAATTACACTTTCAGATACTTTTGTGTCAGTTAGTATTTAAGAATAATATACAAATTAGAAAGCAATGCAATAAAATTGATATTAATTAATTATTCTATCTTTTATTTTTAATAGTTTTTATTTCGGCATATTTATGAGTCTCACATCGCTTAAAAATCGGAGACCAATAGTAGTTTAAATACATCATTCTTTCTCAACTCATCAAGATAAAATCATGACAGATGAGAAAATTGAAAAACATAGAACTCATTCTATATTTTATTCATGTTATTTTTTTACACATATACTATAATCTTATAGTATTTTACTCTAACAAATCAGGACTAAATATAGGAAGTTTTGATTATACAATATTTTGTACCGCTATACAAACCTATAATTTAGCTAATCAAATATCTTTATCCTAATACCCCCTCAAGTTGGTAAATGGATGTCATACATTCCCAACTTGTCAAATAATCTCCTAAAAATCTGATTTGTCACAGTTTTGGTAAGAATGTCTGCCAACTGATCTTCAGATCGAATATTTGGCAATTCCAAAATATTTTTATCAAACTTTTCCTTGATGAAAAATCTATCAACCTCCACATGCTTCATCCGATCATGTTGGACATGATTGTGAACAATGTCGCGCACAACTTTATTATCACAATACAACTGAATGAGACGTGTATGTGCATACCCTAAATCCTGGAGAAGTAGTCTGAGCCACAAACCTTCACAAAGTCCAATAACCATTCCTCTAAGTTCAGCTTCTGCACTGGATCTAGCTACAACTTTCTGCTTCTTGTTTTTCCATGTGACAAGATTACCTCCTACAAATGTAAAGTATCCAGAGGTTGATCTTCTATCATCCAGAGCACATGCCCAATCTGCATCAGTATAAACCATCACATCCTTGTAGTTGGAGTTCTTCTTGAACATAACTCCTTTTCCAAGAGCAACTTTTCTATACCTTAAAATCCGTATAACAGCATCCATGTGTTTTTCACCTGGATTGTGCATGAACTGACTAACCACACTAAGAGCATAAGCTAAATCTGGCCTAGTGTGTGAGAGATACATCAATCTCCCTACAAGTCTCTGATATCTTCCCTTGTTAGTTGGAGTTTGATCTTCTTCAATGCACAACTTCAATCCCTCTTTAATTGGAGAATTTGCTGGTTTGCATGCTGTCATTCCAGTTTCTTTTAGTAAATCCAATGCATACTTTCATTGTGAGAGAAAAATACCTGACTTTGATCTTGAGACCTCAATTCCAAGAAAATATTTCAAAGGACCAAGATCCTTCATCTCGAATTCCTTTGCCAAATACTCTTTCAATGTCTTGCGTTCCTCTAGATCGTTTCCCGTAACTATCATGTCATCAACATAGACAATAAAAATTGTAATCTTTTCTTCCTTTTTCTTTAGAAACAAGGTATGATCTTGGTTGCTCTATTGGTATCCAAAAGCAAGCATTAACTTGGTGAATCTATCAAACCATGCTCGTGGCGATTGTTTTAGACCATACAATGACTTCTTCAACTTGCATACCTTCTTGCTATGTGTATTCGGGATCCTACATCCTTCTGGTAGCTCCATACAAACTTCTTCAGACAATTCCCCGTGTAAGAAGGCATTTTTTACGTCAAATTGTTGTAAGGACCACTACAAGAAATATTAAAATTACCGACGGTCAAAATCCGTCGGTAATAACAAAAATCCGTCGGTAAATGAATATTACCGACGGAATTCCGACGGCCAAAAATCCGTCGGAAATTCGATTGTCGGTAAATATTACCGACGGATTTATCCGTCGGTAAATGTGTTCTGAAATGCAAGCGGATTTATCCGTCGGTAATAATTTTATTAATTATTAAATATTTGACTTATTTATAACATATTTTTTTTTATAGAACTCCTCCCTCTTATATTCTTATTATTTATTACTAATTATTTCTCCATATTATATTTTTATAGCTTTGAATTATTGTCGAGATTAAGAGAAATGTCATTGGCAGGATTCGAACCGAGTACCTTAGAGTCGAAGGCGATACTCCAACCACTAAGCTACTTAGAATTTCTTGATAACAATTTACAAATAAATTATATTTATATACAAATATACAAATACATTTATATATATTTATATATATTTATATATATTAATATATATTTATATATATATTTATATATTTATATATATTTTTATATATTTATATATATTTATACATATTTTTATATATTTATATATATTTATATATATTTATATATATTTATATATATTTTTATATATTTATATATATTTATATATATTTTTATATATTTTTATATATTTTTATATATTTTTATATATTTATATATCTATATATTTATATATTTTATATTTATATATTTTTATATATTTTTATATTTTATATTTATATATTTTTATATTTTATATATTTATATATTTATATATTTATATATTTTATATTTATATATTTTTATATATTTTTATATTTTTATATTTTATATTTATATATTTATATATTTATATATTTTATATTTATATATTTTTATATTTTCATATATTTATATATTTATATATTTTTATATATTTATATATTTTCATATATTTATATATAATTAAATATTTATTTTTAAAATTACTTAATTTAATAAATGATTATAAATTAATCTAATTATGATTAAATTAAATTATTAAATAAAAAATATTTATTTTTTAATTAGTGAATAATTAAATTATATTATATAATTTTACCGACGGATATATCCGGTCGGTAAATAATTTTTAATTTACATATGAATTTACCGACTGGATATATCCAGTCTGATAATTAATTGTTAAATTATCGACGGATTCTACGACGGATATATCCGTCGGTAAATTCATCAATAAATTACCGACGGATTTATCGACGGATATATCCGTCGGTAACTAATTATTATTTTACCGACGGATATATCCGTCGGTAACATCAAATTTCACAAATATTCTATATCCGTCGGTAATTTCCGTCGGTAATGATTATTTTCCGACGGCTACAAATCCGTCGGTAAATATCCGTCGGTAATACGCGATTTTCTTGTAGTGGACCAATCAAAGTTTACAGCTAGAGATAAC